GGCGCGTCCCGGGCCTGCCCGCCCCGCCCCCGGCCCGATGTGATGGGCGCGGGCGCCGGAGACCGCCCCTCCCGGGCCTGGTCTCGCTGGTGCCGGGACCTTTTCCAGCACAGGGCGCGCTCTGGTCTGTCGGCGGCGCCGGACGGTGCGCAAAGGAGCGTGCTCTTGCCCCCGGCCAGGCGGCCCAGAGCCGAGCGCGCCCCTGCCGGATCCAGTGTCCAGGGTCAGGGTGGTGTCCACGACCCCCAGTAACGAAAAGCGCCACGTTTTGAACCTCTGGTGGCAGAAGCTCTGCAGAGAGCAGTGTCTTCACGGCCGTCGTGTCCTGGGTAGACCCCCCGGCTGCTGCTCTGCCCGGTGCAGGGACCTCGGGCCCCGGCCCCTCAGGGCGTCCCTTCCTGTCCTCAGCAACTCACTGCTCCCACCATGACCCCACCCTCCGTAGCTTAAATCCACCCACGTGTGGCTCCCACCTGGCGCTGCTCCACACCCCAGGCCGGGCCTGGGGCCTCGGGTACCCTGGTGCCGAGCTCGTGTCCCCTGGCAGGGCAGGGCCGGGCAGGCGGTGAGCCTCTGGTTCTCCAGGGTCGGGCCCTTGTGTTGGACGTTCCACAGGCGCGCTCCAGGCGGGGGGAATTTGCCTGGCGCAGCATCCTTCCCGTGCAGCGCCTCCGCTTTCCTGCCGCCCGCGCGTGGGCGGGCCCTTGACACCTGTGCTGCGGGGGCTCCCCGGGCTGTGCCCGCCCTCTTGCGGAGCCTGGTCCTGGGGGCCTTGCCCTGCCGGGATCCCCCAGGGCTCAGCAGCTGCCGCCCTCCCCCCTGGCCACCCCTTTTCAAAACCCTCAAGTTTAAGTAAATCCTCAGAGGAAAAACAAAATGAGGGGATGGATTGCTGGGGTTTCCAGGTCTTCGTGTGGAGGGCGAAATGGGGGCAGGCCTGGCGCCCTCTGGTCCCAGAGTCCTGCTGGGGCTGGGCTCTCCCCTGCGGGACGGCCTGGCCCCGTGCAGACCCTCGGTGCCCCTGGAAGCTGTCTGGCAGGGTGCACACGCACGTTCGGAGGTCCCGGTGGGGCGGGCTGTGGCTCTGGGCGGGGGTCGAGGGGTGCAGGGTCCAGTGCTCTGAGCGTGCACCACTTCCTTCCCCCAAGGACTTAGTGAACATCGAGATGTTTCTGACGGCCAAAGAAGTGGAGGAGTCTCTGGAGAGGCGCGAGACCGCTACCTGCCTGGCCTGGTGCCACGACAACAAGTCCCGGCTGCGCAAGATGAAGGTGCACCTCGGTCCCGGAGGGGCGGGGCTCCCGGAGGGGCGGGCGTGGGTGGGCGGGGCTT